AAGAAGAAGAAGAAGAAGAAGAAGAAGAAGAAGAAGAAGAAGAAGAAGAAGAAAGTAGTCAATTTTCGGACCTGGCAGTGAAGGGGTTAATACTGTCTGCACATTGCCAATTAGATTCATTTGTTCCACACAAAGTTTTCCTCCGTGAATGGGGTTATAGCTATCACTTTGACACAGTTGGACCGAATTCGACTGAACTCGAATGTAACCTATAAATCAAATGCGTATCTTTTCACAAAGTCGCAAGTCGAATCCATCGTATTGATCTAAAAACGGTGATTAGTGGTGTGTTTTTGCCCACCCATTATCCATGAAAATATGATAGAGAAATTATGAATTGGTCGCTTTTAAGCACAAGAGAGCTATCTCGAAAAATGCTGTTTTGAAAAAATCGAAAGTCAAGTTTTTCCCCCGTGTGCAGTTTCTTTAAAAGACAAGGAGAGTTTTCTCTATAATCAAACAAATATACACAAATGAAACCAAACTTCTCCTATAGGTAGGGCAATACCCACTTTTGGTGTAGATCAAGTTTTCCGGAAATCCCCGAAATCTGGGTTAGCCCGCTTGTTCTTAAAAGCGACCAATTCAACTGGCAGTGTGCAGTCGGTATTAAATACTGAAGAAGTTCTTAGACCTATTTTTGGTACGACTTTTGACCTTTTATCACGCGGCAGTCTTAACTCTGCACCGGGTATAAAGTTTGGCGACCCCGGGTGGCGGTGTGTTGTGACACCCTGACCCGACATCAGCAGACAACAGGTGTCTATGAGCAGGTGTGTTATCTCCTTGTGCCCGACCAGGTGTGTAGCAGGTGTGTTATCTCCTCCTGCCCGATCAGGTGTGTAGCTGATGTGTGTCAAAGTGGAAGTTCTCATAATACTGTTTTGGCAACAGTTTTACGGCATTTTCAACACAAGCAGGTTATATTAATCAGTGCTGAAGATTAGAGGCGTTACTAGACAGCAGCATACAAAGAAAAGTAAAAGAGGTAATGATGATAGATGTTTGATGATGATGGATGTTTGATACGATGGATGTTTGATACGATGGAAGGAGTAAGCCACACCAGAGTACCCGTCAACCACCAACCGTTTGTTTTTGTTTTTGTTTTTGTTCAAGCTTCAATTACACACTGACCAGGGTTTTGCTCAGCGGAATAAGGTATGTACTTTGGTGTGGTTGTGGAGACAGGGGAAACACCAGGACAATGTGAGTGTCTTTAGAGCTTGCGAGATAAATAATGAATGAAGGACAATGTGAGTGTCTTTAGAGCATGCGAACTAAATAATGAATGAAGGACAATGTGAGTGTCTTTAGAGCATGCGAACTAAATAATGAATGAAGGACCGTGATCACCGATGTGTTCTTCTGATTCAGACCTGGTACTTTCTGATGCTGTAAAAATGTCTTGCGTCGCAATAGAGAAAGTTTAGGTGATACAAAGTTAAATTGTTATGTATCTTTCTTGATTTAGGTATGTTATTCCCTCATTGGCATGTTTATGACAATTTTGTATTCACGAATCAACTTTGCCTGTCAGATCCAACACAAGCCGAGAGGGATATATCGTCCCTGCAGAAAGACTGAGGTACTTGATAAAATCTCTCTTCACACCAGAATCGAACTCAGGTCTTGTGCGTGCAACAACAAAGCGCCCAACAGTATAGATTGTGAAGCGCGTAGAGCTTGCCGTTGAGCGGGGATTGGCGCTATACAATTGATATCTATTATTACTCACTACACCACAGATGCTGGTTGTGAAGTGGTGGGCCGGGCGTTTTGATGAAAGCAAACGAACCAGGATCAGATCATTTCTTGCGTTGTGTGTCATTCATAGATCCCTAGAGGAAAAAATAAACAATGGAGGTATTACATTAAATACAACAATTTTACCCAGTTTGAAATCAAACTTATTTACACGTGTATTATAGTGCACGTGAACACTAGGTATGGGTAAAGAGTAGAAGTGCAGACATTCATCAATTCTGTCGCTTTGAAACAACCACTTTAATTAAGCTCTTTCTCTCTTTCTTTCTCTTTCTTTTTCTCATTCTCTCTCTCTCTCTCTCTCTCTCTC